GACTCCCTTCAAAAGATCAAATCTCTGGCATCTGATTTCTCTACCCGTGATTACGCAAGGCTTCTTTGGACATAACTATAAGGACTAGCAGAAACTCTTGGCACTTAATACCCTACTTGATACATCGCCCCATGTTCCACTAGGAACCTAAGAGAAAATAATTATAATAATAACTTTCATAGAAATAACCATGCATTGAAGTGCAAGTATTTAGCCCCTTTTTAGGTGTTCAGAAAAGTTTATGCTACTAAAAAGTTTCTTGTCCAATGCTTCCCACTGAGTTTGTTGAAATTGTTCAGTGATGTCGTTTAAATTAGATTCCAATAGCTGGATCTCAGTCTCACAACTAAATATGATCTCAATTTATAATCTACAAAACCAGAAATTTCATTATCCGTTATTTTCAACTTTTCATTCAACAACTGTTCCTTCTGAAATAATATTGCACTTTTTAAATAATGAGGCAGTTCCACTATCCGAGGTAAAGAAATGGGAACATGTAACCCATGAGGTAACAATAACATTAGGCTTTGAAAAACAACTAGTCGTTTATGCGACTAAATATGTGTGAAAGGAGGCTTCCTAATGGACAACCAATTGTCTAGAAAATCATATCACATTCAGAGTTGCGTAGTACCGATTTTATAGGCTTGTAAGATGCTCACGCAGAGTAGATGTTAAAATCTACGGGTTAAGAGTACCCAAGGATTCCTGCCGATTGCACCCATCCAACTAACATCTCTCTCGGTGCAACACGATGGTGAGTCTCCTAACCTGGTGATCATATGGCCAAATGATCAATAGAGTTCAATCAGCGCATAGGGCTAGACAACAGTGAAGTTGTTTATTCTCCAAGGACGATATCTATCTGTTTTTATGCACTTCCGGGGTGTTTTGTAGCAACTGCTTTCCAGACTTATGGTGCTCTCTTAGTCATAGTCTACTTGAGACTTCATTCATCTTATTTGTGAAAATTTTGTTTTCATCCTCTCTTCCTTACTCTCTACGTATTAATTTCAATACTAACGTAATGCCTTTTTTTTTACCTCTCTTATTACTTTACAAATTATTACTCAATCATCTCGTAATTCTAGGAACATTTTCCCAACTCATACAAATCTTTGTGTTGACCTTGTAATCCTAAAAGCAATTTTGGTGACCTCGAATGGACCCATTAGTCATTGAAGGTTGTTTTTTCCGTTATGACTATAATCACGGATCTGTAGCATCTGAAAATAATTCACCGGTAAAAATAACTTTCTTCGCTGAATTATGGTTTGCTAATTATTCTCAACTTTCCGATTCAATTCTATACTCTTTCTTTGTCGTTCCATTTTCTTTCATTGTAAATGTTATGGCATTCCCTCAGTGATTCTGTTGAAATTTGAAGAAAAGTATTCATTTGAAAAGATTGAACTAAGGTTTTATTTCATGTCATTCGATTTGATCTAACTTAAGAAAGTATCAGTCTTGGTGGATTAAATAGCCACCAGTATTTTCACTGAGGCTTCCTGCCACTTACGCTGTTATCTACCACTCAATAAACATTTTCCTCCCATCACTGTTGGTAGCGAGATAAAAGCCAGGACAAGTAAGCTTATTGGAAAACTCCTATTTTACTTTTATTCAAGTTGTCATAGTGCATCAGACAACAGATGTAAAATTCGGTCAAGTTTTTTTTAGTGATTGGTTGTGTCTATTTTAAGAGACAATTTAGTAAAATATTTCTTGCGCCATTTGTAGCCGTTTATATCAACCTGTTAATTATTATTTTAAGCCTCATTGTTGAACTGTAATCGTCAAATACCTGTGAATTGCGTCTCTCATTATAAAGTGTAAATGTTGCACTATATAGGTATGTAACCTGCCTTGCCACAGACATGTTCAGCTGTATTAATCTGCTGTAGAAACACAAGTAAAAATAGTTGGTAACCTACATCCAAAGGTCAGCGAGAACCAGTGAATCTCAGTAACGTTATCCGAACTGACTGATGTGAGAAGACTCATTCCAGCTGATTCTGGTCACAATGAGGAGCAAAATTAGTTGAAACCTAAATTAACTGAGTATGCTCCACAAAGCGCAGTCTTTTCAAACGTATATCCGAACACTTTCCTATGTGACTATCCACAGGAGAAAGCAGGGCAAGTAACAATTCCATCTTGGATCATTTGGACTACTTTGGCCATGTCGTCTCCTCACAGTCTTCTAATAAAATCATATACAAAGTCAAAGCAAACGGCTCGAAAGGGGCTCGGACTCGTCACTTATGTATAGCAGAGGTGTTGGCAATCTAACAATTAAACCCAGAGCTCTGAATACACAAGAAATGCGTTCAGTCTCTTGTTTTGACGTGATAATAATCCTTCTTGACTTTTTTTATTGCTTCATTATTCATATTACTCTTATTTACTGATCATCATTAATTTTTATTTTTACTTTACGATTTACTTGACATGTTAGCTCCAATCTATTACTAAGATTCTCATAATACTCAGATTATTAATTACAATTAGTATTATTATTTTTGGCCTGTTTACTTTTTAACCCTTTGGTCATTGCGTTAGTCTACGGCATATTTTCTTTATACATACTTGATTACGCAATCCTTTTCTGACTCTAGAATCCACCGACTATTTCACCCTAGAACATTCCGTTTGCATGGCCTAGTGTTGACCTAGCACCAAATATCAGACTAATCTGTTTGTTTGCACTTAGCGTAAATACGATTGTACAGCTTCTGAAAACTATTCATCGAAAAGATTTTTTTCCCCTGAATTACCTCGGGTTTTCAAATGTCTCAATGGGAACTGACTAAGTCTTCGCAATGACCACTAGCGTTGATGGGTGGCGAGAGCGAGAGAGATGCAGAAGGCATTAGGGTTGGGTAATACCCGACAGTTATTTAGGCTTATTAAAGATACTGGCAGTACGAAGACGATAGTTAGTGAAACCGACACTCAGAAAGGTGGTATTGCGACAAACTCCCACGACAGCCGGGAAGAACGTTTGGCGGACGACTTTGAAGCTGGCTTCAGTTAATCCACAGCAGCGCTTCAGTTGTCCAGCATTGAGGCTGAACCTTCATGTGATGTAAGCGCTGGTCCTCCGACTCTCCTTAAAGTTCAGAATTTTATTTCAAACTTCAAAGTAAGAAAGGGAGTAGGATCTGCTAGTTTGTGTAGGTGGATATACTGTTTTTCCTACTCAAAGTCTTGATAACTGAGTCATATCTACTGTGGAGTCAATTAGGTACGTCTAAGTGTGGCGAAAAAGGCATGATATCCATCCCTGCCATCACAGATGGTATCAGCTGGATTTTTTCAGAAACAAGCGTATTGAGCCTACAGAAATACAGTGTCTGTCCATCAACCCAGAATTCGTCCAGCTGCTAAGAATATTCAGAAGTAACTTTCTTTTGAAGTATCTTCTAGATTCCAAGTAAAGCATAATGCTATCAAATCCTTTAAAATTGTCATTAGACAAACGAATAAGACGTTCTTGAAATGGTGAAGAATATTTCTAGCTCAGGTGGATGGTCTTGGTTGTATTGTGTTCTCTGAGCCGGGTTGTTTAGTTGTAGAGCATTCATTGTCTTTTTAAACCACATCATCAGCACATCACTGATTTCAATGCAAGTGGATAATTATGGACGTGCATTCAATTTCGACAATGTAGAAATTTTGGACAGAGGAAACACAAAAAATATCAGAGAATTCCTAGAAACTTGGCATCCAGGTCAGTCAGCAATCAATAGATGTATAGACATAGACCTAATCTAACAATCAATGAGAAAAATGATAAACGACAAAAACATCAGAGGTCAAGCAGAAGAACAGCCAATAGGAAAATCTATCCAATCAGTGACAACAATAGAAGGAAACAACCAGTCATAGACCAGTTCGTCAGGGTAACCTACTGAATCACTCACGGAGAGATATTGACAGCTCAATTCATACTGAAGTTAGTGGTGACAATGTCGTCTAGCAAGACGACGAAAGCTCCACAACTAAACAACCCAGCTCAGAGAACACAATACAACCAAAATAAGACGTTCACAGCTACATTTCAAGACCAGAAAACGAATTCCTCTGGAAGAAGCAAAGGGGTACTTAGCTAAAGTCTGCTGTTGTAACACTTACACAACAATATGACATTTATTCAGCCTTATAGTTTTGTCCTAATTCTGGTCATTCTTTTAGGTTCATTCTGTTTAATGAACAGCTTTTACTATTATTCATTCATTCTTTTTCCTTACTATACCGAGTAGAACATTCGTTAACCAGCTGTTCTAATCATACCTTCAGTCTAGCAAATTTTCTCGAGTTTTTTGGATCTCCCTTTGATGCCTCAAGTTTCATTACTGTCCTATCATGCTTTGTTTCATATCTTCATATCTGTAGGTGTTTCCATGATGAATCATAAAATCTTGTAAAGTGTTCCGTTGGGTAGTTTTACCGGAGTTTTCGGATTCATTACACGCTTTGTTTGCATCCGTTATCTGATTAAAATTCATATTCGAAAATGTTTTATCCTCAGTATTCTGACAACTCTGAGTTAGTTTTTTATGCTGCATTACGCAAACGAGTGTGAAGTGCACATGTAACTCAGAATAATGACAGTAATTTTTTGCTGCTCTTTACAGAATTAAAAAGAACAGAGTTACACTATCTAATTGTCTAAGTCAACCGTAAACTGGCCACTGAGTAAACATTAATTTGTCGACTGGCATCTGTTGTTCAAGCAGGAAAAACTCTGATCTTACCTCTTTATAGTTTGAAAATGCCATATCTCCAGAACGATGCATGATATGAACTAGTGTGCAACACTTTCCACTTCATTTTCGAAGTAATTAAATCATTAGAGTTGGTTTCTCAAACAAAAAACACATCAAATCCAATTTATCACCTGCATACAACACTACCCAAGTTAAGTGGCCTAGAAATATCGATAACTGCTTCTTGTAAGAGATCAGTTTTGTTCAGAAAATACAGAAGAAATTAAGTGGATTATATTGTATTTCATACACAGAAATATCTACTAATGTACTCGCTTGTTGCTTTTCCACCGGAACACCGGTTTTAAATATCTCTTAATGTCTTTGTTAGCATCGGTTTACACGTTCAACAGAATAAATACAAAACGAAAAGACACCAAGTTAAAAGTACCAAGGTCAGAAAAAAAGAGAATTTCTTAAACTCAAAATCCGTCATCTGCTTCAATAACCCCTTGCTCCAACTCACATGGTCGGCGGAATTCTTGACCGCGTTCATGAAACCACAGGTTCATTACCCATTTCGAACCAGCTAAGACAGGACAAGCTGCATGTCGAGTTCGTAAATCCCCCTCACCACTTGGCAAAAGATTAAACCAAAAGCCAGCAGCTCCTTGTTTCGGTACTACACGTGCACCGATGCGATTGAATACAGTAGCTCCACCAGCCTGTATATCACTTAGCTAGAATTAAAAATGGCATAAAACTTTTAAAATTTCTTTTCAGAAAAGAACTAATCAGTCATTTGTTCTACTTTAAATTTTGACTGTCAGTTGTTTGAGCATTAAAATTGAATAGTTAAGTATGCGAACCTTTGTACAATTGAACAATAACCAAGAAACATTAATCAGATACTCTTATTCGCCTGCAGATGATGTAAACTTATGGTTGGCAACTTAAATCTTTTTATGAGTATTTAAAACAGAGGTATGAACTGTAGTAGATGCCTTTACAATAACCATGTTTTCACTTCAGATTTATTCCTATGAATGTTTTGAATTTCCGACGACGTATAGATAAAGTTAATCCTAAAGTCTTGGTTGTACTCTGATGTCTGAGCTGGGTTGTTTAATCGTGGAGCTTTCGTCGTCTTTCTAGACGACAGTATCGGCAGAAGAACAGCCAACAAGAAAATCCATGCAGTTAGTGATACAACAATCAAGGGAAACAACCAATCACAGACCAGTTCGTCAGGGTAACCTACTGAATCACTCACGGAGAGATATTGACAGCTCAATTCATACTGAAGTTAGTGGTGACACTGTCGTCTAGCAAGGCGACGAAAGCTCCACAACTAAAGAAACCCAGCTCAGAGAACAGAGAACAAAACCAAGACCATCCAACTGAGCTACAAACATTCCCCACCATTTCAAATCCTTAAGTATCCTATGCATTCCACTTTCCATGATAAACTTCAGGCAATATCTTTAACAATTTATTGAAATACTTGTGAGTGAAATACTTGTATATCAATAAATAGTAATCAATAATGCCCGTTGTACAAGAAATGGCTGTCGTTCCTCCGTGGCATAGTTGATATAGCCTCGAGGTTTGAAACGATGGGCACGTGGTTCGAGTCTCAGTGAGAACAACATCACTCACTAGGGTTCAGGTACATCCAGCTGACGAGTCTCAAGTAAGCAAAACGTGGGTCCCGGATTCCTCTGCTAGCCACAACAAGCAAATTACAATATCTTTAACAGACTGGACTTCAGACGAACACGTTCCTCTAAATCACACTACATGTCAGAGAAACTGCATGAAGAAACATATGTAAGAACGTTTCCACAAGTGTCAGTTAAAAAGTGTTCACAGTGCATAGAGATACCTTTTTCTATCCACATGCAAGTATTTTGCTATATGTGCTGGAAGAAAGGGGTTTAAGTTGTCCACAAATTGAATCATTTGGTAATCTTCAGGTTTCCTGAAAGCACAGTTTCCAAAATAACAGTTGACCATCAAATTTTCATTTAATTTAATATGCTTTGGCATGAAACATATTCAATATATATTGAGGTTGTGAATAGCATATAACTAGCTTTAAGACTATTTAAGAATAAAGTATTGTGCAGTAGATAGGTTGCATTAAATTTAGGCTTCCAGTAGAATGAATCGGACAAATAAAATGATTACTAGTAATCTCTACAATATCTAGTACATCTATTTGTACACAAAATATGTTTGTTAATAATCTAAAGTAGCAGATTTGTATGGCATTAAATCAAACAATGAGAAGAAATTCTTCTTAAAAATAAGCTGTTTTTTGTTTTCTGGTCCTCAATAATGCTGTTCAGCAATAATTGAGGTCCAAAGATGGAGAAATACAATGCAGTTACTAGGTTGAGTGAATTAACAGCTTGATTTCTCGTAGTCACCTCTGGTTATTCAGTAATATGCTAAGGATGTATGCTGTACATAATTTTGTTTTCTGTAGCATTTGTCAGATATGAAAAGTACGCCATACTTATATTTATGAGTTTTGTATGTATTTTGCTCAGTGCTAAATAATCATGATTCAGAAATCCACTAAGTCTATAAGTACTATTTGCTGTTACCGCTTGAATTTTCACTTCAAAATGTGACTGGAAAGATGCAATTCATTACGATCCATGTCGACACTTAATTTTAACATTAAATGTCTTCAGTATTAAATACTGTCCCCAGAAAATAGTATGAGAATAGATTATACACTGATAAATGTTAAAATGTTGCAAAATATTCTATGATGATGACATGATCGCCACCTTGGGTACCTAAAAGAATCCACCTGGTTCTCTCTGGCTTACTTAGGACTATATGAATCTGATATTCCAGAAAATAGTTTGTGCATAGTTAGGCTATTGGAATAATGGTTTCTATGAGGATAGCTACGCTACATTTTCACGTTTGACAAGAAAATAGAAATGTTATTCAAAATGAATAAGGTTTTTGAATCAGTTAGCGAAAGTGGTGAATACTAAAAGCTATTGTAAACACACATTATAAAGGTTCTGAACTTCACAATCTTGGCTCACACAAAGGTGGGTAAATGGGCTGATCACGAAAATTCAGTTGACTGTTATGGTTAAATCATGGTCATCAGTATCGCTTCCACCCAACATCTGTTCAGAAAAACAAAGTTCATTTGAGAGATAGTGCACAACTTTCGGCTGCCCATTTAAAATTAGTAAACTGTCCAATGCTTACATATCGCAGAAGACATCAAGGCTTCGAAAAACTAACGTTTTTCTTTTCAATCCGTATAGCTCTTGATAAGACTCCGATTTTAACAACAGTAAAAAGTATCGCAAATCTACAGGTTACACAATTAAACCAAACTGCAAATTAAATTAAATATTCCAACAAGTAGAACGCATATCTTTCATCTACACAGTAAGTACATAGTCTTCGTGTGAAGTATATTCCTAACGAATGGAGCAACTTGTCTCAGTATCCATATCAGATAAATGAAGTTACTGGTTATTAAGTTGAATTAAAAGTTAGATGGAATAAATGAAAGTAAAATTTCTAACAGTACTGCTTATGACGTAATGACACTTACATAGAAAATAATTGTCGCTATTCTGTTCCCATTTTGAACTTCAAACGCATCTTTTTCTCTTTTCTAAAAACAATTAGAAAAAATATACACATTATAAAACGAATAACAACTAACAGTCAAGGCTTACAACAACACTTTATTTCATATGAGGTGCTCCCAGAGAATCAGTAGAAAGAAGTTATTCGTAACCCAAATAGTTTATTGATAAAGTCTGCAACTATAGCTCTCAGAGATGTGGATTTAGATCTCTAAGTAAACATCAAGCCTTTTGATGTTCCACAAACCCCTAAGAGATGCTGACTGCCAACTGCTTCCAACCGACTAACGTTTCTTAGCTAATTGAGCACACTGAAAAAGGATTGGTAAACATTTACCAGTATTTAGGAGTGAATAATATCAAATTGGTTCCTCTACATTCGCCAACCAATGAATATTCCATCCTGGAAACCCTATTAGACTTCACCAATTTGTCAATTTTAATCGTGGTCATCGAAGGGACAACTGATCCCCGTATAACTCCTATGCTGGTGCTTTCAATTAAGAACATATCTAAACATTAAAACACTAATCAAAAAAACATATTGACAGTAGTTAACCTATTCCCACCTGTGATAAAGATCCATAATAAATTTTGTTTATAGAAATAACTATGATAAAATTGTACTCTAATGAGTGGATGTTGATGAAAGTCTCAGTAAGTCTCAGTTTTATTAGTCGCTTCCTGTTTATTTAGCTGATACTGAAGTATGAGGATCATCGGAAATATTTTCTTCATCTACGAGTAGAAAATTAGCTGTTAACTTTCAACGATGATAATTTCCTTGACATCTTTAGTTGTTTCTCCTAAGAAGGTGGGGATTCTGGAAGTCAAGTCAGTTCTTAATTGTGACAATAACAAACATAGTAATGGAATACTTTATATCTCAGTGTGATTCGACTAGACTGCAAAAGGACAGTCTTAGTAGTTGTGATCAGTGGTTCAAACACAGGTATCTCATAAATAGGAGATATGATACTGAAAGAATTTCCTAGGTATGGATTGGTAAAACATCCCAAAGTACAACACAGTCACTAACGATCCCTCATTCTTTGTCAGTGACTGCCTACCTAGTATAGACCGCCTTTACAGATTTTATCGTCTTTGTTGGTCAAGTAGGATCAGAACCAATTTAAACCTACAGGAAGATGCTGTAAAATCAAGATCTACGAAGACACTTATTGCATAAATAAGAAGTGTGGGTTCGCCAGCACATCAAATGTGCTAAACAAATTCAAATGAATCAACATGATCAAGACGAAAAGACTGCAAACTGGGAATTTCTCACAATCTATATATCACAAAGAAGATACTGTATAGTGTTGATAAATATAAGTGATCAGTCACAATATGGTATTGTGAACTCAAGCAACTTACTCGACCAAAATCAAAATGTGGAGCATAATGTCCACCAAGGCCATAATTACCAACTTGGAGGTCTTCAGCTGTCTCAAGAGATAAACCAGTAACTGCACGTATACGTTGACTTATTCGATCAGTGATTTCATTCATAGAATGTGAAAGCCAAGCACTAAAGCGAAATAGTTGAAAAGTTATGTAAGCCTACTGAAAAAAAGATTACACAAATTATAGCAAAGTTCTTAAAACACTGAATTTACAAATGTTTACTAAACACTGTAGGCATAGACATTGCAGTCATAAAATATTAATACATTCCTAGATTTATTTAGATCATCCACTTCTGATGCAGCATTTACGGAATATCTTTTCAAAATATGTTTACTCATCTGTAATATGATGTTTAAAGTACTTTTGAGAGAAGTAAACTCGATGAAAGTTCCACAAAAGCTTTAGATTCAAAACTAAAGAACTTAGTGTTACATATGCATTTACAATGATAATTCCTTAGTAGCATAAAGTAATATTAATTTTCCTTAATTAAATTTACCTTTGTACAAAATAATGATTAGAAAAACAACTTTTATTATTGGATTACTGAACAGTATTATTTAATGAATATGTGACCATCGTGAAAAACAAACGAGTTCAATCTGTTCAATCAAATATGAACAAAAGTCTTAAACTCATCGAAGTTCAACATAAATTTCCTATTGATCCGAATAAATTTGTCTTCAATCATTGTTCAGTTGCCTTAAAGCAGTTACCACTCGAAGCTTTGTCTCTGAGAGCGAAGTTTTGTAATGCGAATCTCAATGTCAGCAAAGTCCGGACTCCTAAGCTGTTTAAAAATCTGATCAATCAAAAGGATTATATTATTCCAGTTTCCAGTACTTCAAATAGATTATCTTTGATTGGTGTTAACAGTAGCTTGAGATAAAAACAAAGGTTCATCACCTCCTAACCAAGAAACATAAACAGTAACTGAAAGAGCTGAGATACTATAAGAATTTTGTAATAACGCGTCCAGACAACGATTTAGGGGTGATCCTGATGAAAAGGAACGTACACATTCAAAAGATGTTGACAGTGATTTCAGACGACAACCGACACTCTAAGCTTGTCAAAAATAAAACAAAACTAACTGAACAACAGCTTACAAATGTTCTTAAAAGACTGAAGAATGACCGATTAATCAGAGATCTTTATGAATGCCTCAGGTCGACACGAACACTAATTCCTCGATTTTATGGTTTACCAAAAATTCACAAACCTTGTCTACCACTTCATCACATTTCTAATGTGTCGAGACCATTCTACCATCCCGTTGTAAGAAATGGCTTTGTGAAATCCTTCAGCCTGCAAGAAAGCAGCTATCCAGTTACTCTCTTCACGACGTTTGCCAAATGACTGACTTCAAGAGAGATATGAGGATAACTGGAGAATACATAATATTACTCGACGCATAATCTCTCCTCACTAACGTGTCACTCACAGAGGCGATATGCTTCCTATGCAAATATATAGGTGACAACAACGTAAACATTGGGATACGTACCTCAGACCTAAAAGAACTGCTGCTTAGGTGCACCTTCAACGTTCAGTTTTTTTTAACGATGTCATCTACCGTCAAACAGACGGAGTACCTAAGATTTCTCCTTTTGAGTAGCTATTGGTGGATTATTTTATGTTCAATTTGGAAAAAAGCGGTTTAAAGTCAATAAGTGATGAGGTTTTGGTGTATGAAAGGTTTATTGACGATATATTTATAATTTGTGATTATGATTGTGAATTAGGTTATGTTTTATAAGCATCTGACAGCTGCCACCCCTCAAATGAATTCCTACTCGAAATAGAAAAAGAAACAAAGTCTCCATTTTTTGATGAAGAACTCACCAGACAAAGTGATGGGACATTGAGAAGGTCTAACTACAGGAAACCTCCATAGATTGGTCAGCTGATTAAGTCATAGAGTTGGGCAAGTCGAAAAAGAACGCACCGTGTTCGAAGAACCTGAGACACTCATAGCCTGGAAGAAGAACTCATGTTTCTCAGTAGGGTTCTGCCTGGAAACGGATATGTAGCACGATTCAACGACAAAATATACGGTGCAAACCACAAGTAGAGATACCCATTTCTGTTACAAAAAAAATACGATACACGAATGCTGACTTCGCTGCTGATATTTTTAAAAAAATTTCAAACTAGCTGGAGAAAATTTTCTTCACGTCAACCTTGAAGATAATGTTCTCCAATCGTCCAATGTTTCCTGACAACTCAAAAGGTAAACTTCCAAATTTGACTACTTCCAGGTGTGTTTATCACTTCAACTGCTCCTGTGGAGCCAGGCATATATATCGTTCGATGCTCATTCTTCTCAAACGTGTTAGAAAACATTACCCCGCCTGACTGCAAAGAAATGCGAGTGGATCCATCAGAACTGCAGTAATTAAACATCTTGTCAATACTGGTCACAGCATTACAACTAGGCTTTCAAAGTCATCTATAAGGTGGAAAAAATCTGCCAAAAATGGTGCGCTTCCGTCTTTTCTGTACTGCAGAATATCTTGTCATATCCATGGAGAAATCGAAATTATGTGCACAAAAGAAACTTGTTCAATCTTTGTTGCTACTTTGGACTTAGTAAATTGCTAACAAAACGTCGACCTCTCTCTCTCTTATTGTTCACAACTTTGTTGTATTTTATGATATATTTTAATAACCCAACAACGTCTTCATTTTGTTTCCATGCTACTCTTGATCAAGCTTTATCTTGAAAATTATTCCTACTTATTATGCAAGTTTATATGCTATCCGGTTAATCATGTTGGTTTGTATGCGTCACACTTGTGAATTTTTAAATTTTCATTCAACTTCATCTTTGTTACTAGGTTTAATAAAATAATCTGTTTAAACAAAGATGTACAAATTACGATTGTTCAGCTATAGAGAATGAAATTACCGAAAAAGATCTTCACCGAACTTCTCGTTATCTCTTATGTCCTGACGGGTATTTTAAGTAATTTGTTGACTCAAAACAACATATGAATCCGAATGAATATGGGCAAGCATTAAAAAAAATTTAAGCCTAGCGAATTAAAATTTCACTACAGGGAACAGTAACTGCTTACGATATCAACAAAGTTCCACAAGATTACTACCTCACTTACTTCAGTAAGGAGATTATGAATTTGAAAAGCATAGCGATCTGAGTTATTAAATCTTGCATAGAAATCATTCTTAAGAAACCATTTTATTTGAATGAACTTCTCTATATGCTATATGAAGACAAATACGATCATCTGAGTAGAATTTGATACCACAGAAACAAACTTCATGTCACTAGGTATATCAAAGAGTTAATTATTACAAATAACAGATTAGGATGCAACAGAGTGAGAAAGTGAGATTAGTAGTCCTTTCAAAACGTACTGGCGTGCGTCATCGTATGATAATGGGTAAATCTGTATGCCGATTGCCTTCAACGTACAATAGAGATACAGAAAATGGTTTGCACAAGATTTGAATCTGCGAGATTTAGTGACAGTGAATTAATTCTACAATTAACTTAGCTGTAGACGTAACGGAAGCTTTGGTTCCACTTAAAGCATGTTTAAAGCTACAATGAATGTCTCTTTCTCATTAAAATATCAAAACATTTACATCAAAGTTGATATTGTAGTCATATTTCAATGCTAAAAGTCACTCACCTTTTACTGGTCCTATAGAAAGCCACCTCTAGATTTCCAGACACTGGATTTTTAACTGTAGCTCTGCGAAGCTGCATGAATAGGAACAAAAGCAATGAAAACCGAAGTGAGTAAGAGCTGTGAAAAAATCTTTGTGTATTATAAGCAGCTACAGGTCTCTTCACTTTGTTACAAGCTGCATTCAAATGATTCTTGCAATTTCAGCCACCATTAATTCTCTCAAGATAATTAAATTTGATTTGATAAGGCAAAAATCTGCCAAGATTTGTTTTGCATTTTATTCATGGCTAGCCCTGAACCTGAAAACTAAATGTTTATATGTCTAGTTTAGTGGTTTGGGTGCCTGAATCCTACTCACCTGACGACGCATTCGAAACCCTATTTCCATGGAGTTCAGTCTAACGAATTGGTTATTTTCAACATCATCGGCAAAATTTATTTGAGTTTTTAACTTGGTAGTACAATTGTAAGTTAGTATATCACATATTTTTTTTAGTTGAACCGTCAAACATGACCACTTTGACATTAGTTTACAAAAAACAAGGATGGATTTCTACTTAATAGCTGTGAAAACAGCCATAAAAATAAGTTGTTAAAAGCTGTTTTTTGATTATAAGGTCCAAAAAACGGGTAACAGACTGCAAAATCACCTTCAGAACAAAGATTGTTCGCCTAAATCCTGTGCGAAATTGTTATTTGTCAACAACAAGTGACAACCTCGTCCCTGGAAAACCATGCACGACATGAAGTCTTTTTAGCCAAACGACACTCCGACTTTCTATCCTATGACTGACTATATAATATACATAATCTGCATTAACTAAATCATAGGATGTGTTATCGAATAAACAAGTCACGCATTCGCGTAACAGACAAATCAAGGTTCAACGTACTCATATGATTGACTCTACGGGTTACATCTTTCGTTTAGACTTCGGGGAATCGATCTCACAGTCAGTCGCCAGTGGAAAGTGAAACAGCAGTCATTTGATTGATTCTAGAGGAATTAGTTATTTCGAAAATAGCCTTTCGCTATGAACTAAACATCAGCTACAAAAATTTGAAAACCAAGAGTAGACAGCTATATGACTGTCTGATCATAGTTTGAGACTCTTTTATAATGAAAACCTTCAGAATCGAATGAAATTTACCTCAAAAACATAACATCTAACATCAAGTTGATTTCAACTAAAGGAAAAGATTCCGAAGTGCACTCAGCAATCTTGTACACATCCATCTGGTAGGCAGTGAGCCACACTTACTGTGGGATGGTTGATTTTGCTACCTGGCTGCCCAAACCTCGACACTTGCAGTGGGGTTTGAACCCGCTACTCACTTTCCGAAAGTCAGCTCCCTAAACCAGTGGAAGTGATTGGAATCTGAAGATGGAATGGGAGTGGACTCTCCAAACTGTCAACTGGAGAATCAATAATCTACTCCGATATTGTCACCCACACGACACGACAACCAAGAGCACACTGAGTTATCGAGTGGCTGTCATGATGTCCCAAACAGCATCGAAGGCTCTCATGCAGTGGCAACCAATCTCCTCCAGCATCAGGATCATGACAGCAAGATTCAACTCAAAAGGAAGGAAAGTCACAGTCATGCAATGCTACGCTACGCTACGCGAAGCACCTGCAAATAATGCAGAGCAAGAGAAGAAGGAGGAATTCTACAGGCAACTGCAATCAACACTGGACAAGATCTCAGTTGGCAACATCAAAATTCTAATGGGTGACATGAATGCCAAAATGGGAGCAGACAACGTAGGAAGAGAACTAACCATGGGTCGAGAAGCGTTCGGTGAGGTGATGAACGAGAATGGAGAACTGTTTGCAGAGTTCTGTGCATTCAACGATTTGGTGATTGGAGTGAGGCAGTGTGTTCAAGCACAAGGATATCCACAAGGCGACGTGGATTCCACTTCACCAGACACCAGGACACACTAAAAATCAGATCGACTTTATCTCAATCTCAAGAAAATCGAGACGCAGTCTACTTGAAACAAGGTCAAGAAGAGGAGCAGATGTAGGCAGGTTCACACAATTCACTATCTAGTGCAAGAAACCTTCCAAATCAAGTTAAAAGCCTTCAAGGAAGCTGGTGATAGACCACAGTTCAAGCACAACACCCAGAATGGAAACTGAACTGAAGGATGAAACTACAAAGGAAATCTTCATGTCTGTCATCAAGACAAAATGAGAGATATCGAGGAACATCCTTGAAGAAAACTGTGTGGAAGAACATTGGAAGTCTCTCAAAGAGATGTGGAAAGAAACCTGCACAGCCGTATTAGGAAGGAAGAAGAAAGAAGATAAGGAATGGATGTCAATGGATACATGGAAGCTGATAGAGGAGGGAGAGGAGGATGGTGAAGCAGAAGATAAACCAGTGCAAGGATGCTCAACGACGAGAAGAGGAACTGAGTACAATGTATAAAACACTACACTGGACAAAGAAGTGAAGAAGAGTGCACACAAAGACAAAAGGCACTTCAACGACACACTTGCAAGGGAAGCAGAACAGGCTGGTGGTAGGAGAGATAGAGACCTGACAACATTGTATCAAATAACCAGGTCACTATCTGGGAGGGGAAAGATCAACACAGACGAAACCAATAAGCGATAGTGAAGAAGACTTAGTTACCAAACAGGAGAAACAAAGGAAGAAATGGGCTGATCACTACAAAAAAACTCTTCAATCGAACACCACCAGCACCTACAACTCATCGAGAAATACCACCAGCAGTCCAGTCACAGAATAATCAGTGAACACAAGACCTCCGACGAAAGTCAAAGTCATGAACGCCATAAAGCTACTGAAATGCGGGAAAGCAACAGGACCGGATGGAATCCCTCCAGAAGCACTGAAAACAGATTCAGAGACAACAGCGGACATGCTCACACCAATACCGCAGAAGGTTTGCAAGAAATGAAGGAAAGGTACCTGCCGATTGGAAGAAGGACTACCCTGTCAAACTCCCGAAGAAGGGAGACCTCAGTGTTTGCATGAACTGGTGCGGAATCATGCTCCTGTCCACCCAAAACAAACAAAATATTATGCCATATCATCCTGGAAAGACTAAAGGATGCGCTGGATTCAAACTACGACCGGAACAGGCTGGCTCGCTGACTTCAGGAAGTACAAAGCATGTGCAGACCAAATTGCAACGCTACGCCACGCATAATCATAGAACAGAGTATAAAATGATAGTCAACTCAACTCTACCTCAACTTCATCGACTTTGAGAAGGCCTTTGACAGCGTCGACCGAGAAGTAATTTGGCAACTGCTTCAACACTACGGTTGTAGTGCCACAAATCTTCACCAACCTCATTCAACAGCAGCTATATGATGACGCCATATGCCAAGTAATTCACAATGGGAAGCTCAGTGACGCCTTTGAAGTGAAGACGGGAGTAATACAAGGCTGTCTACTATCACCCATAATCTTCCTGATTGTGGTTGGCTGGATCATGCAGCAAACAGTGAGGAGTGAGAAGATGGGCATACGCTGGCTGAACCGATGAAAAGATCCCAGAAGAAGATTTGGGTTTCGACGCCGATGATGATTTATGTCAATGTCGCAAAACTCGAAGATCTACAGGCGAAAACTAACAAGCTGACAGAAGAGGAAGAGCAGCGAAGGAAGACGGGACTTCCTTCATGTGAATGTGGAGAAGACGGAGGTGCTGAAAATACCCAACTAACAACAGCATCAACAATACGAGGCACCAATCACAATTAACGGGAGAAACCTAAAGGAAGTAGTCTCTTTCATCTACAAACCTACCTAGGCAGCATTGTCTCAACTATAGGCGGCACAGGCACAAATGAAGATGTCAAAACCAGGATCGGAATGACAGCAAGACAGGCTTTCATCAATCTGAAATCAGTGTGCAGATCTACTGCACTCAGCACAAAGAACAAGATCCCGATTTCCAACACCAATATCAAGTCAGTGCTTCTATATGCTTCAGAAACTTGGCGCTTTACGAAGAGCATTTCCAACAATCTACAGACGTTCATCAACAGCTGCCGCCTACGCTCACTCGATACTGATACTGAAGATCAGATGGATGGCCAGAAAGAATAAGCAACAAAGCACTTTACCTGGCGACGAAGTAATCAAGAACCCATCTCCCAAAAAATATACAGAAGAAAGTGGAGATGGATCTGGTATACACTGAGAAGGCCGACTGGGAACATCACACACCAGGGCCTCCAGTGGAATCCAAAGGAGAAACGACGAGTTGGGCGTCCGAGGCAAGGGTGACATGGAGGAGATCATGTGAGGAAGAAATGAAAGCTTCTGAGCGGTCGTGGAACGAGGCTCAAAGACTGCACAAGACAGAGTGCAATGGAGGCGTTTTACTGAAGCTCTATGTTCCACTAGGAACCCAAGGGAAAGAAAAACAATAATCTTGTATTTCTCTGACAAATTTGTTTGTATGTAAATCAGCAGAAATATGGAAGTATGCTTAAATGACCTGTGAATCTAAAAAAGTTACCAGTTCAAACCTTAAGGTGAACAGTTTTGTTAATGTAAAATAAGTAAACTTCGACTCACTCCATGACCATTTGCATAGACTAATGTTTCAGATAGGCTTTACAAAACAAATAACAATAACAAATTCACTATGAAACTGAACTCACTTGTGGTGTGGCCACTTCCTTAATTTTTTCGATTTCTGATGGATAAATCAAATCATGCCACATTACAATACGTGGATCAGGGAATAAAACCTCTTGTTTAACTGGACCGATTTTATAAAACACATGGGGGATGTAATATTGACATGTTAGGGAATCTGATGGAGCTGGTGGAAATGGATTTTCACCGCGACATAATGCTTCGTACACCTCAGTTTCCTGATCTTGTTTAGACGTAGCTATATCAAACGGAATGAAAAGAATTGAAGAAATACTCAGAAGAAACAAAGCTTTTTGCAAGTTATGCATGTCCTTGCTGTCCTCAATTTTTATGAAATACAGCCAAGTTAAACGTAAATAATTGGTTTTCCTGCGTTTCGTAATAATAAAACAGTGATTCAGAGGTAGTAAGTATCATGAACTGATATCAGTCGGAGAATCATTGAGAACCTGACAGCTATTTCCCCATAATGTAGGGCTCCTCAGCAGCACGCCGTTACAACTCTGCCACAGGCAGAACTTAGGACCTTCAGGTCCCACGACGAACGCGTGAATAGTTCAGCCACCGGTTCTTAGGTCAGTGGCTCACAGTCTCCAACTTCTGTCAAGTCACGATAAAATGCGAATAACCACCAAGGTCTTCAGTCAGCGTCCACTTCACTTCGTGATTGCGTACTGATATTACTGCGCACTACAATTCGTATTTATATCACTTTAGGCAGTGGAAAGTGTTTAATGTCTAAGACTGAGATAGACGGGGTCTTAAAAGCATTCATCCAAATGATTTGCCATACTGATTTATTAGTTCCATCCTTGGTGTAAAAAATCTAAAAAAGCCAGTTACCAGCCGCTAAGGAACACGAAAAGTGAAAATGAATGAAAGTGCCAAACTTTGATGAATTTTGTATTGAAAAACCTTTTTTCCACATAGAAAATAAAAACTCTCATTGACTCTTTATATTTCTCTTACGTGTTTGAGAAAAGAAGCACAATAATAAGTTAGTATTACCTTCTGGACGTGGATTTGGACCAATTCTTCCTTCACCTTTGCCCATTTGTTCCACATAATATTCTTCATTTTTAATCGCTCTCTCATTGGTCGGCTCTGGAGAAGGATTCATGAAAATATTTAAGAATAAGTTATAGGTAGTAAACACTTAACTCAATATTCGAAATCGAAATCAGTGACTGTTGGGAAGAAAAGGCTTACGGTTGAGCGCGTTCAACTTAAATGAAAACTAGACACATTCCATATCGAAATCTGCACTGCAAATAAATCTGGTAGGTCAGCTGTGAAAGAACATCATATACGAATAGTCTATATATCCACAGTTCAAACTTACTGTTAAACCAAGCTTTCTCTGAACTTCAGTCATCATTCAAGCACAAATCCATAGCCCATCCATGATGACTTTTCTAAAAGTCTTAAGTGTTATCTATGAGATACTAAGGTGCATTTGGAATACCTAAAAATGTATGTAGCCTAGGAAGTGGGTTTTCTGACAGAAATGTTTTCCAGTTTGGTCTTTTTTGGGAAAGAGATTTCAATGACATTCTAATCATGACATTTGATGAGATTTTGAAACTTCTCTGTCTAACATCGGTTATTCTTGCTAGAAAAGTACCTCCTTGTACAGATTTTACATAAGAATATCACAGTAATTATTAGCTCATCTGGATAGAGTTTTGTACAACTGTCAGTAATAATCAAATCTATCATGACTGGTGTGACCACGTTATCAAAAAAGGCTCTCTTATCTATCAAACCAATATAACTGTGTGCTTTATGTACTTCTATTTGCTTTTTTCAAAACAAACCAAGCTTCAGATTAACAATAAATTAGATTGTTCTCACCTTCTTGAATCAGTAAACGTGTAACATTCAAGGCTTCAGCGTATCTCCCTTGCTAAAAATCATAAAATAAACACAAAAACAAATAGTAATTAAAGTAACCATCAATCATGGAAAATTCAAATAAGCAGTAACAGTGTGAATGATTGCAAAGACCATTCTAACAAGCGAATAGACCACAGTCACTTATCCTGCCAACTGACTGAATACTGTTTCAGAATTGATTTTATTGCAGAAACATTGAATCGCATGACAGATTAGTTATCACTGTTATCCTGAAAAACCTTGCTGCTTATTCGGGTGACCTTTACAATCCATATGAACTCATATACTCAGAAACTTACTAACATTAGTCTGAGGAAGAAATATGCAAATCTACAACAGATAACAGGTTGGCGAACTGAATGATGAATACAACCCCTCATGTGAAGGTCAGCCCAAGCTTTGTTAGATAATGAAGTACGGTTAAACGGATGACCCAAATATCTACTGATTCTTTGAAGAAAATACGGTTCAAGGTCATCAGCTTTAATAGATGTGTGCTGCAGGCAGTGAATTAACTGGATTCGAAGGTTATCGACACTGTCAAGCAATCTTCATAAGACTTCTTTGAAAGTGATGAAATTCTAGTGCGTCCAAAGAATTCATATTTGTCTGAGAACAATAGCCCTTTCAAATAGCTCTATTTTAAAGATATTTTATGTGATGTGAGCATTCATTTTCATTCACGAAACTTGGTCTTTCCTTGTTAGATCTTCTAATAATCCCGCTCCTCGCGAAAATGAAAATTTTCTCTATCGTAGGCTAATTAAAAGTGATGGCTACTGCAAATTTTGAGCAGTGGCAAAGAATATGACCATCCAGAATTTTCAAAGCTGAGATCATTTTCGACTTCTTACTGAAGATGTTAGCGTACATGACAACAATATCCTTGAAGTACTGAGTAAATAAAACACAGAAATCTAGCTTCTTTCGCTCTGAAGTAATGGTATACTTTGATTTGACTTTTAATTTTCGGATTGAACCAAAATGGGAACATAGTACTCTGTAAATCGCACAGTAGTTAAAATAATATGAAATCTTAAGATAAATTGGCAAGCCATCTCACTGAAAAATCAAGAAAAATGAATCAAATTAAGTACATAGGTAGCATTCAGTGACTATCGAAACCTCAAATAGAACAGAACTTCAGCAACATAAAGGTTCACCGTAAACTGATTGAATATAAAAGCAGTTCAAAATGAGTATGTCATCACTACTTCAGTTTGTTTTAAGATTGCTAGTTATTTGGAGTCAATTAAAAGGTCACTTTACCAATGAACTAACCGACTGAAATTCTTCATTTTATGAAAATCTTGCTTTCTAAACGAAATAAAGAATCCTAATTACCTATTTCAATCGTTCCTGGCGTGGCAATACACACTTTCTCATGAAAGAAATTTGGTAAAAAACTAAGTTACAGAATAAAAGTTGTGTTCAGAAGATACAGTTGAAGAGGAACTGGCGACTTTGCTCAACAAATTAATCGAAAATGGCTATCCTGATAAATTCATAAAGAAACAGGACTACAAATATGGCAAAAAAGGATATTCCAATGGCTAGCAGAAAACCACTATACATTCGGGTGCAATTTAGAGGTGATGTGCTCCGTGAGATATTAATCCATAAACTATCCAGTGCAATTCCGAGAATGTTTAATTCCGGTAAATAATAAATTTCGTTCTCCATACGCCCGATGATGGTACCGAGACTGAAAGATGAACTCCTTAGACTGGTCACTTCGTATTGTGCTTATCAGTTCGACTGCTATTATAGAACCAGTTACGGCGACCGCTACTTTAGGGTTTTATTTTTCTGTGCTCGCAAACATCTCCCAGCGTGGTTAAGTAAATGTGTGATGAACACACTTGGTTGAAGCTAGCCATAAAGTGAATATGAATGAGTCGTTTTCCATTCTGCACCTCATTCAAATTAACTTGACAAGAGGTACTTGGCTCAGAATCCTTTAAATTGCCGAAGCAGTAACAATCAGGACCAAACAACCCGAGTTGTGTGTTCAAAAGAAGCAATTACCACCGTCTGATTCAGGATGCACAAATTCGTTAGCATCCTGCCCCAGATAATTTAATTCCAAACTGTAGATATACCTTCTTTCCTATAGGCTGAAATAATTTTGACAAATTCTCTTAACATATTTTATCCTTCTTAGTTGATTTCATCCGGCTTTCATACACGCCATCCGGTTGTTTTATTTAACTATCACCTTATAGCATTACATAAGACGTGTAATAATTTAGGTAATCAGTTATTTTGAATTGAATCCTAGTAACAGTTGATTCCATCGTAAACGTTCACACATGACGTTCCTCAACTGTATAATATCATCAACAAACTCATAGGCGGAATCTCTAAATTGCTGACATGTAATTCCTCGATATGGATATATAACTGTAGAACCTAAAGAATAAGTTATCGAAAAGAATATTCTTTGTTCACTTAAATGGTTTTAAAATCACTTGTTACTTATAGTTCATATCCACACTATAACTCGGTAAAAGATTACTCAGTCCCATACACCATTCATATTTTAAAACCAAAAGTTCAAGTATATGACAAAACTGAAGTCAGAAATTATTGCATTCATTCAGTATTCTCAACAATGTAAAATGTGACACTGGAAATCCTACCATTCTCCCATGCAAAGCCAACTCTATGCAAGGTTCCTAAGAAAAGTATCCATATCATTCTACCATACAGAAGGGAGTTAAAAGTATCATTTTGAAACGTAAGCTAACATCAGCCATTAAGAAAACATACTGTTTAGCTAATCTTATCATTCGGGGAAAAACAAAACATATACTTCACCACAAACATAAACACTGCATCAGTGATTACTCCACATCCTACTGTGTTTACCAATTTACTTGCGTGTATGGTCTTACATACATAGGGAGGAGTTAATGGCGAACGAACATGCACTTAAATGGCTTCAAGAACAGATGAAGCGTGAAAATTTGATAAGTGCAGTTGGGAGACGACCTCGTTCATCTATAGATAAACATATTATAGAAACAGGTCACAAAATTAATGTTCGAACGGCTTTCAAAGTCCTATGTAGAAGCAACCAGGTATGCATAGTAAGATTTGCGGAAGCTATAGCCACAGAAAAATTAAAACCACTATCATGTATACAAAAACAGTCCAATGATACACTACACCAACCTTGATAAACTTTGTTTTCTGATCAAGATTAAAAGCTACTATGTCACTCTTCTTTTTTGAATTCATCTTTATTAGTTGTAATCCCCTATTGTCTCACCTGTTCTGTTTGTCCTCCCACCTGTCAGTTTAACCTAAATTGACTTGACAATTATGTATATATGATCAGATTGTTCGAAATGCATTGCGCAAATATATCACATTTCTCAGATAAACTTCGTCTTCTAATTACGCTACTTAACTTCGTAAATGGACTATAAATGTTTCACATCCCGTTAGCTCATGATACTATCGCCTCAAATCGGTGATGTTAACTGGTTCATTCTCAATACAATCCATGTTCGCATAACGATTAGTCAGATGAAGAAACTACTCAGTTACAGGAAACGCTAATATGATCCCAGGAGTTTTAATTTGTTTGCTAACCAATTGTTCTCTTCACAAAAGTCTATCTACTGAGTAGTTTAATGAGGCTAGAAAAGTAGTGAAGCGTAATAATAGCACATCTTAGCATCTACTGTTTAACCAGAGAGGTTTGGATTATGTACCATATACTTGGGCAAACTTTCACCAATTGAATAACAAAATTCTTCTCACCCGGCCAAGTGAATAAGCAAGATGATCTAAAATTTGTCCTACAGTTGGTTGAACTTCTTTATCTTCAGCATCCTCGCTGACAGTAGTAGTTTCTTCAGACTGTTGGCTACTACTGTCCTTCTTTTCTTCCAGTTCATCAAATAATCGATCGTATGCTACACGGAACCATTCTTCCGATCGTTCATAATCACCTTGTGAATAGGCCTGTTTGCCTACTTCTAAGCATTGTGCAGCTGAAATGAAAATAAAAATTGAAACTGCTATGGACTGTAAAATAACTATTCCACATACACATTGGAATAAGTGATTACAACCGGATTGTAAATTACAACTATGATTTTACTTGATACTGAAATTGATATATGAGGATTAGGATATTATTTGATTTCCGTGTATCTTTTACGAGGTATTATCAAATAGAAATACACTTCAGCAATGGTGTACGATTTTTTATAGATCACTGGAAGTGATTTTGAGTCAAACCAGCCACAGTACGTTAGGTGGAAGCAGCGAAAAGGGCAGGCAGCCACGAACTTTATGCATTTTAGCACTCACTATCAAAGCGTGAACATAACCTCGATAAGACCGATATCCCGCCTGAGATTCGGACTCGCATCACCCAATCCTGCAGTCAGAGACGGTACCACTGGGCTATTAGGGTCGCGACTAACCTCCTGTAAGACTGGATTAGATACACTGATTGGTCACTGGAGGGTAACCAACTTTATGTTGTCTGGTTCGAAGTGCAACTACCAATTTCAGTTGTCATGCGGACTGGAGCCTGGAAGTCTGCATTTCCTAATTGGCTCTCACCTGGGGTCACAGACTTAATAGGCTGATGCCATCTTTCAGTTCGATCACCTTTCACCTTATTCTACTAACAAAGCACATTGGCGCAAACACTGACCAGGAGTGCGTGACCCCTTCAGCTGCTAAGACTTTCCAACCCCATCAACTGAATAGCTTCTTCCACTTAAAACGGTGTGTAACTTCACTAATATAGGAGTAAAACTTAAGCACTGTGATATACTGAAATTCCATTTTAGTCTACTTATTAAAATCGCCACACAATGAAGCAATATCGTTTGCTGGATAACGTTTGGGAAATAAATTACTGTCCATATTCACATCAGGTAACTCCACATCTTTGAGACATGGTTCATATAGTTCTAATTCTCTCTCTTTTTGATAAGGGTAGTAGATTTTTCCATATATTTGGGACAAGTATAAAATCATTCCGATTGCATGTGTATTCAATATTGATTCAATAAGCAAAAATTCGTTTATCAATCTGTTGAAAGTAAATTAGCAATGTTGGGTTGGAAGGTTGAACGAAAGCGAATGGAACTTTAGAAACTAGTGTTTACAGGAAACCTTCCTATTTAAACTCCTACTTAGACTTCAAATAATCTCACTCCATCTCAGTTAAAGTAGGCTCAGTTAAATGTCTGACTAATAGGGTAAAATAGCTCAACAGTAGGACAAAAAATCTACGACACGAAATTATACACATGAAGAATACCTTACTCCTCAATAATTACCCACCATAATTATAAACAGATTCATAAAAAATCTTAAGAAAAATAAGAGCAGTAGTATTGAGGATAGTAACAGGATTGAGACAGAATTCAGAGCCTCCATTGTGTTGCCATGCAAAGAAGGCACCTCAGAAGCGTTACGAAGAATTCCTAATAAGGCTGGGTGTAGAGTGGCACTCAGACCAACAAACTCACTTAGAAACAAGTTTTGTTGGCTAGATGGTTCTTTTAATCCAATTAGGCAGAACAATTTCGTTTACCAAGTCTTTCGCAATGACTGCAAGGTTAAACACACAGGTCAAAGTAGTCGACCAGATTCAATTAGAATAACAGAGCGCAAACGCTTAAGTAAATCAAGATTAGTAGATCCTAGTAAGTCAAGGAATTTAGGGAAAAGCTCGTCTATAGCAATGCTTGTAGTTGTACAAAATCACACAATAGGGTGGGGCAGAGCGACAATGTTCGAAACTAACTTAGTAGTGGGGGAAGAGAGATTAATAGTCAAATCTTCGTTGATTCAATCCAGATCAAATACACACATTAGGAATTATTCTGCATCTGTCTCAGATATGTGGGAAATTCTACTACCTTTTTCATAAAGAAGTACAGAAGAGCAGAAACTGTATACACTATGTCTCAAAGTTGTGGAGTTACCTCATATGACTGAGGACAATAAATTGTGTCTAAACGTAATTCAATGTGACACATCTAATGCATCAACTTAGATGGAATTACATTCTACCCCATTGTCCAAGGTTTACTCCTTTATTAATCCCTCCTCTCATATGAATGACAGCTGATAACTTAATCTGTTGCAAGGAGTTCAGAGTAGCCACTGGTGATCGAGGATCACTAATCTCCCATCACTTGTGATACTTTGCAGCTATGCAGTACATAGCTGAATATGCTGCGCCTGAGAATGAGCTGATATTTTGATTTCTAGCAGTTTATTCGTGCTGATGTATGCTGATATAGACAAGTGTCGACACCAAAATCTTACCGGCCATTTTCTCGATGGATTTCACGTAACTGCCTAGATAAGTAGAGACAGAGAGATTTTCAGCCATCGCAACCTGGAAGATGGCTTGATTCATCTTTGTATTTACACTTCATATCCGTCGGTTTCAAGTAAATATACAACAGTTGGCAAGGTTAAGGTCAAGAGAATCGAGAAAATCTGGACTTTATAAAGATTCTGACCACAGAGCAACATACTGCCTGAGTACTTTTCTTCAACCAGTTAACCACATGATACTATGCTTACCTCGAAAGCATCATCAGTATGAAGGATTACTCTGAAAGCAGGATATCTAGAAGTACACTAAGTTGGAAATGTTATGGTATTTGGAAATAACTGTCTCCAATTATCCATATGATCATGCGAGGGAACGTTTTTCAGAGTAAGATATTGCCTAAACTAAAATAAATATTGATGTTGGTCTGTGATTGGAGGTGAAGTGAAAGTTCGGGCAGCAACAAGATTTGAACCCGCGATCACCAGGTTTGTGGCCCGGTGCTCTATCAACTGAATTACGATACCCGACTGCTGATGAGATTTTCATTTCACCTTCAATCATCACCCAGTATCAACACTAGTCTTCCAAACCACAACTATCTCGGATGCTCAAACTGGTTCAGTAAATATGCATTGCATTGACAGTTAGTAGTATGAGCAAGGTATAACATGTGCAGACTCATCTAAAAAATGAAAAAGGGTACCTTTCTGGCCTAATATATTAATTCATTATCTAAATATTTGCTAGGTTGACCTTTACAGTCACACTTGAGTATTTTTTGAATGACAAAATACGTTTGCCCGAGTGAGAATGTGTTCAGCTACAATTATCTAGATATCGTTATTCAAGGATACATGAAACTTCTTCAGGCAGCGAAAACAATAACTTGACCGTGACACTATTTTCACCAAGAACTCGACTCATAATTTCAAAGTTACTGAGTCAATAGTTAAATAGGTTGCAAGAAAAACTGCCACAAATATACAACTTTCTTTGAGACTGACAAAGAAAAATGTGCTGTATACCAATGTCAAGCAATAAACTACACTTTTTGCATTGTATACCCAGTCTCTGAGCGATAAACTGTTTATTGTAGGTGTGGTTCACCGGTCAAAGCACTCGGCTTTCAGGCAGGGCACCTTGGACTCGATTCAGGCTACACGTACTACGATTAGTACTTCATAGCCTAGCAAATAAGCTTGTACTGGATTGAGTTGCATTATTTTCATTAATTTATTGTCTATTAGATCAGCGTGAATAGAATATTTTGGTTAAATGTTTTGCATTCACTTTGAGATTAATCCACCAATAATACCAATGCAATCAATGGAGTTGGAGAGTTGGTCTGAGTTGGGCTAAAAGGCATCATATCTGTTCGCTAGCTATCAAATCATACGCAAAAGTTACCAGACCAACTGCAAGAAGAATGTCAGTGTCTATCAAAATCAAAAAGTAGTCTGAACTTACCACTTAAATGAGAACAGGATAAATTATCAATCAACTGACCATAAGCAATTCGACTAGCTGGCAGTTTATATGTAGACTGTAAACGTAGAATTGCATCCACTGCACCGCTTACATCATTATTACCGGGTAGCATATCCGTGTGTTGCTTAACACGCGATCGAATTGTATTCATTGATGCAAACTGTTGTGTATCAGGAAGATTTAAATATTGGGAACCATTATCATCATCATTATTGGTTTGATCACTGGGTATATTGTTAACCAGTTGACTTAACTTTGATTTCCATTTTGATGAAAGACGTTTCATTGTCAAATAAGCGTTGATTGGATTGCCTAAATACTGCTCTAGGTCATTGTTTTGTTGATATGGCGTTGAAGTTGGGTTGTTGATCGAGTCAACAGTATCCAACAATTTTATCACCTTACGAATTTCATTAAGACGTGACTCTTCAAGAGCAATATATGAATTTAAATCGGTCACCAGTTCTTGACTTAGCCGCCATGCTTTAGTTATGTCAACAATAGCGGTGTAATACTCTGCATTCACTCGATTGTACTGAAGGTATCCTATGCAGATGAAAATGGATAACAATAAGAACATCGCTGTCTACTGCTGAGTAGCAAAGCGAATAATAAAGACGTTGGGGATAAATGAAAAGTTAGAAATGACCTTAGGACTATATTTCTGTTTTGTAGGCACAATGTAGATCGATAGGTAGACAGTGAAGAAACCATAACAGTGGGAAGAAGGACAGATGCATAAAATGGAATTCTACCAATGAAAATAATGTATTCCATCCGTTGTGCTTTTTATGTGTGCCCGTAAAATCGATTAGAAGGTATACGTAAACTAAACAGATGGACAACCGACTACCAAGTCAAGTTTCTATATAGTCATTAAAACAGCGTCTTATTATTGATCTGCATCAGAACAAGCAAACAGTAAACTAACGGTGATCAATTAAAAAGGCCCGTAATAAAAGACAACTGAGACAGCAGCATATGTGGGCATATGTAGGGGAACAGCAAAAGAGCCAGTGAGGTTGAGGTAGCGCCAAAAACTTGTTCTGAAACGATTCAACAGTGCACACTTTCTCAGGACTCAAGGAAAGTAAATTGCAGCTGGAATGACCTACTCCAACTTCATTCAGTGTTGCCACCTAGTATACAGTATACCTCATGTTCAAATTCTTACATCAAACATCAAGATATTTTCTTGTCTAGGCGATAATAGATTAGGTGAATGTTTTCAAACTAGTTTCAGTATGTTATTGATCAGGTTTGTTACTAACCTTGGATCAATGGTTCACGATGTTTTGATGGTGTTGTGTTCTCTGAGCTGGATGGTTTGATCATGAAACTTTCATTATCATCCTAGACAACATTATCAGAAAGAAGTGAGCTATAGGGTTTTCTCCACAATTTACTTAGTAGCCTGTCCTGATTGATTGCTTTTGCTACGGTCTCGTCGTTGTCTTCGTGTTTACTTCGATTGGTTGTCCAGTTCGACGTGCACATGGACCTTATTTTTACTTGTTGGTGATAGAGTGGGTCAGTGTCAATATCTGTTGATTGCTGACTGGCCTGAAGACCAAGCTTCAAAAATCCCTGACATTCTTCGTGTCCCCTCTATCCAGACTTTTCACATTTCCCCAGTCAAATTCAAGTTCACAGTTGTCTGCATGCATTTATATGAGCGAAAATATGTCATGACGCTTTACTGCTAGTTGGTGCTCATGTAGACGGATAAGAAGAGGGCGACCACTCTGTCTGATGTAGTGTTTTTCGTAGTTACTACAGTTTATTTTGTGAATAATGTTTGCCTCGTCTTCCTCTGTTACTTTATCTGTTGGTCTGCATAACAGAGAGTGAAGAGATTTTGAGGACTTTTGAAATACAACGATTCCAAAAGGCTTCAGTAATCTAGTCATGATCTCGGAGACGTTCTTCATGTACAGTAGGACAAACCATTCGTTGATTTTCCAGGCTGACTTCTTGGTTGATGACGAATTGTGTAGATATCTTTTGATGAAGTTGTGTGGATAGCCGTTCTTTTGGAAAACAGTCGTCTTTTGGTTTTCTTTGTTTCTTCTCAAGGTTGATGTACTATAGTGTGTTTTCGCTCTTTTGAACAATGTTATACGCAACTGATTTTGTCTGCTGTTGGTTTGATACTACTGTAGTTGAGGATTTGATCCATATAAGTCAGTTTTCTGTATACTTACGTTTCAAATTCAACTGTGAATTTGATGTCGTCGAAAATAGTGTTATTTAACATGTAAGCCTTTTTCAGTTAGTTTTTCTGAATGATGACACTTAAGTTTTGGTTTCACCAATGACAATACGACAGTTTCCAATCTTTTCATTCATGATGCATTATACATCTGGACTAAAAGCTGGTGAAATTGGCCTCCTCGGATGTTGCTGCCAAATGTAGCAGTGCATAATCAGAGAATTATTTGTGTGGGCCCTCTTGAAATTTGTTTTTGTCTGAGAAGTGTTTGAAAATAAGAAATGTTGAGTAAGTTGTAATAAATTTATCGAAGGAAGGGGAACTAAATTTAAAGTCTAGATGAACAGATTTGCATTTCTTCTTTGTCTAACTTAATATTTCATACTCTGTAAAGATAATGTCCTCCTTAGTTTTCCAGAAGTATGCGGATAGTCCTTTTTGAAGTTCTGGTGGACAAGTAGTTGTGCAGCATCACTCAGAATCCTCACACTGACAAAATTATTTCATTTAGATTATACGGTAAAACTAGGAGGTCTTCAACATTTTTCGCGAGTCTAAATCGAGTCTTGGGCTTAGATGTTGGACAGTTTACATTGAACGTATCCTGAGAATTGTCACTACCCTCAAAATATAGTTACTGTCGTATTTTTCTTGAAATCTAAAGATTAGTAGCTGTCAAATGGCACACTATGAATCCAACTCTCTCCGTTTACCTTCCCTGTCCCGCTATCCACTGATCGCCTATCCAGTTCAGCATAACACATCCAAATAGACATGCAGACCTATTTAGCGAGGTTTGTTCAGGAAACGCTGGTCACAAGTTGACTGCGTAACAGTTTCATGTTAGTGGTTTACATAATGTTATTATATTCTCTACAAATGGAGGTGGATGAACCTTGCCTAAGGGAATGAATTTAGTTATACTGTTTCAATATTTGATAATTGAAAGTTCCCCTTGCGTAATTCAACAAGTTAAATAACTAATGTGTTTATATACAGGAAATATTGTTGCTATCCATCACGAACTGACATTAGTTACAGAACCATAGAAGATCTGGGAGCATTGGACAGGTTTTTCATCTTAGTATAGGACTCCTCAGCAGTGGGCATCTACGACCCGCCAGGGATAAAACCCGGGATATCCATGTCTCATAGAGAAGTTGCCGTTAAGCCACTGATGAGGTCATAGGGCATGCACTGCTGAGGAGTCAAACACCAGGACGAAATAGTCCTCCGGTTTTCTCAGATTTTAAATGTTTCCTCAAATGATATCAGTTCGTGGTGGAAACCAACTTGAAATCAATGAATCCCCACAAACTTTAAAATTTAATTGTTTTTAACTCCATTTGTGTAGGCAGAAGGATGATGAGGTTCTGTAGAGCTAGTTGAAACTGTGAATGAAGGAACATTGGTACCACCAACTCAGAGTGGAAAAAACTTGTAAAACTGCACCACTCAATTATTTAAAATTACTTTCGTATGAAATAAAAGTACTCGCTAACCTAGGAATTAGTTGTGTATTGAAATATTAATGAGCCACTGAAGTCTGGTGCTATTTTGTATCACAAAAACTGTTCTTAGTTATTGAGTCACCCAGCGATAATACTCAATATGCAAGTTTCTCTATCTTGATAAGTGAGAGAATAAACCACTAAAGGGATGCTCTCACATTTGAGCTCAATGCGTCTGACATAGCTTATGCCTAGTGTAGCTAGGAATAAACAAGAAAACAGCAAGAACGTGTTATGAGGCCTTGTGTCTTTAAAGTAAGCGTACTGATAGTTCGAACCAATTGTTTGATCATTGTAAAATTTTTGTTCGCTACCATACTATTTCGGTTTAGGTGAGCAACATTTTAGTCAATCCACTTACAAATACACAAAATTAAAATAGTTTTTAACAGTTTCATTTGATGTCAGTCAGACCAGTATTTTAAACTTAACACTTCTCTATTGGTATTTAGATGTGTCAAGAGACAGTCGAGAAGTTCAAGCTCGCCTTCTCCAATAACAATAACAAAGAATGCCTATGTTTGTGGTGAATATGGGGAAAAGAAAATGTGTAGATGTCTATACAACAACCTATGTTCCATCTAGGGGATATGATATGTTTATCTTTTGTGGTAGCAAACCACTACGTTAGTAAGCATCGTATCGTTAGAATGGTACTTCTGGTTTTCGTCTAACATTGCAGTTTAACCACATGAATCTTTTAATGTTATTGTATTCAGTTATTCATATTCCCACCTTAGTTAAAATAGATCGCTATGTCATTCAACATTGATATTAGCCACTGTAGGGCGGGGGTTTGGAATCACATGACATGGTGAAAGGAAATCATATTTCTGACTGGCATAGTTATGGTGCTTCTTTAGGTTACAGATAACTAAGGAGATTGCTAACGAGACTGTACTCACAAAATATGATACAAAAAAGTGGATTGTATCACAAAACCAATACAGGGAAGCAGAACTGAGCTCTAAAGATAATAAATAACGAGACATGGCTTATGATAGAGTGCAGGCACATATTTCCATTATTTGCATACTCAAATCTTGTAAAACTCAATCGTAAATAACCCAAAACATGACTTTAGCTGTCAGAATGTTACCCTGAATCATGCGGTAGCATGAATATGTAATGTGGGACGCTCTTGATCTCAATGACTAACCATCTTAAATACCGATGGGAGCGTAAGTTACCATTTGTCACAAATCAAAGAAAAACAACTGATTTCGTGAATTTTCCACTCGGCAGATTGAAGCCCTAGATGGATATAAGTAACAGCTGTACTAAACTTTATGAATCCCAAACAATACTCAAATGAGCAACATCGATCTTGAAAAGGATAATATCAGGTTCACGCGACCCATATTTTCACAGTATCCCATGATTCTTTAAAGGAATACACTAATTTTATATGTCAAAATTATCTTTAATTCAAGCCGACAGTTTTCCATCAAACGTATTCGAGCATGTAAACATTTTGCATAAATTGACGTTAAAACTGTTTTAAGTTGTAAGCAGCTCATGAGAAACCATGAATTAAAATGGATCCATGCGATTCTGCTAAACCTGTTGTTCCCGCTCTATGTAAATACTAAAACATTTACACAGGAGGCCATATACTGACAGGAATCGATCAACTCGACGCAGTATAGTACCAGGATATTCTGAGTATCAATAAATTGTTGGTTAGGTTGATTGAATATCCACGAAAATTTCTTAGTAGCTCCAGGTTTGGCCCATTAAATGAATGATGGATTGTTTGCTTCGCCTTAGACTCACAACAGTGGTATAATTATCCCTTACACAGTACGTGTGGCTCATTGCCTGCTGCACGGATATACCCAAGATAGCTGAGTGTGGTTTGTCGTAGCGTACGAAGACCCGTGTGATCTTCATTCACAGTCATCTGGGATCGACCAGTACCTCACGAAATGTGTGAAATATACC